GGTCTGAACCAGCTGATATTAATTTGCACTGACAAGGGGCAGGCTTGCTTTCGAAATTACTGAGAGAGTTCAGCTGGTGTCTTGGCTTAAACCCTCCCTTTCTTCATGTGTTCAATACTTTTTCCCTGTGCCATTCCACATTATTACAAATAACTTCATTTCTGGACATTTGTTGTTTGATTTCTTTGTATGTATGGATCACTTGGGTTGTTACCAACATCTGGTGAAAATTTCATGTCATTAGCACCTCTAGTAATATATTTTTACTGAGAAAAATGTTGACGTGTTCAATACTTATTTTACCCGCTGTATTTACCAATCTTATAAACTCATATTTTACTCATAGTGAAACTTAGCAGATCAATTTTTAAACAAAAACACTACTTAAAAAACATGAGATGATTAAGATTTTATGGCAGCAACACGTGTAAAGATTTGGTGCAAGGAAAATAAAACAAGAGTGAAGTGAATAAGAAATGGCTGCAGGAGCATTAAATTAGGTTAATTAGCAACAARTCAGGAAGAGGACASWGTATAAACAGAGCATTTTAGAGAGGTTGAGTTTCCCAGAAGTAAAAAATGACCAGATGTTTACAAATAATGTGACAATTTCAGATTACTGTTTCTTGGTGGAAAATTGGTCAAACTGAGGATCGAATCATTTGTAGGATGTTGCTGTAAACATGGAGTGTGACGACTTCTTTATGAGATTTGCCTTCATTAAATTAAAACAGAAGACAAAAAGAACAATATGCATTAAACTTATGCTGTACCATTCAGCTGTGCTCTCAGTGATTTACTTCAGTGCTGCAGAGTTTATTTCTGCTTCTWTGCTTTTCCTCATACACTTCCAGCACCACTTGTGTTGTTACATGACAGAGTCCTCCTCTCTCTGCTGGTCAGAGCAATTCTGTGAAAACAGAGAGGAGAAGTATTGTCTCGTACCGGCTCACTACCAAAAATAAGTTGCTACCAAAATACCCAGCACATACTGTCAAAGTCGATACTTAAAACTAAAGGAAACAGAGTTTTATCCCAACAAAATACTTGAAATAATAAAAAACGTAAYGTCATTAAGGAAAAACACAATGGCTCTTTTTCAAAATCAGTTCTTTGCCGTGACATCCRTCGATCTAATAATAGATTTTTTTACTGAACCAGCAAATATTTAAGACACGATTTAGCCCTCTCTGCTGCACAGCATGCAACAACAAAATGAGGAAAGTGTGTCCACACAGAAGCAAACATTCTGCCCCAATCCCTGTTTGTTCAGAGAAATTAAAGACGACGGGGAAGTTCAAATCTTTCTCCAGAACAGCGCTTCTGCTCTCTGAATCCAAATGAGGCCATTGCCTTCTTCTCCCATTCTTCTTCCACCTCCCTCCCTCCCTCCCTCCCTTCCTTCCTTTCGTCCTCCTCCAGAACTTCTTTGTTTCATTTCCTCGTGTCTTGCCCTCATTCCTCAGCATCTTTCACGCCCTCCCCTCCTCCTCTGTTCAGAAAAGTTCTTTTCTATTCTTCTTTATTAAATCTCATGCTCTTTCACTGTGTCATTCACCTGCTTTTAGCCCTGTACCTTACAACTCTCAGGTGTCTATCACAGGTATGAGAGGGGATGTTTTTCASTGCATATACACCCTCAGAACACCACGTAATGCCTCAGACAGTTCTCCGGTATTCACTGTATGTTTTGGCAGTAAAAATGGTGTGTGGTTTGAAAACGTCTTAGTGGATGTTGTTTTCTGCTAAACATAGATCAACTCCAGGAAGTTCTGTAAACATTGCTGCTTTATAGCGAGCGAAACGCCTTCAGACATCAAATAGTGAAGTTATTCCCAGAAGAGTCTGCAGAATCTCTGTTCTTCTTTTTACTTTGTTGCATCTTCAACCCTCACTGCTTCTTTTTTGACTCTCCTCCTTCTCTGCTCCTCTTCCTCGTCCTTCGTTTCTTCTTGCAGTCACCTCGTTCCCTTTCCCTCCTCCTTGTAACTTCACTTCTCACTCGTGCCCTTCCTGCTGTTCACACCTTTGAAATATGACGTTACAGATGAATTTCTGAAACCTTGGTGCAGAGATGATGCTAATGACAGGCAATTACTACGAGCCAGAACTCACTAATGGACTTTTACCATCGTTTATCTCCAGCTGATTTCACCGCGCTCCTTTTTTATGACAAGGGGAGTGGGGAGTGCGACCACAGTGAGGGTGAGCTATAGGAAAACTTTAGAAAAGTGAGACGCAAATTGTGAAATCAACTTATAACAGTATGAAAAAGCAGTGTGAGAAAATCTCAAACTGAACAATATTTGAAGTAATTACACCTATCAGTTTTAAAAAAGTGAAGCGGAAGGCTTTCTCACATTAGGAAAKTGCAAGAATAAAACCAAAGAAAGGACCCAGGAAATGAAATCAAAGAACAGCAGGAGAAGTATTTCTGGCTCCGAGCACTGAAAAGCTATTACACTGATAACAGTGTGSATAACCTTTGACAATTAATGCTTCTAATTACACATAATGATCTCAGAAGAACAAATAAAATGTAAACATTTTAAAGGCCTGCAAATATCAGTGTGACGTGCATTTGATTATTAAAAATAATACATGCATCATCGTATAAGGCGCTCTGGACCCACATGAGCAGCGCTTTAAAATACGACTAAAAAAAACATGAAAAGCAGAGAACAAGAAGCCGAACACAAAGACTCGAGTTGCAAGGGAAAGTCAAATCAAAGGAAACTTTTCCTGAAAGCACCGGAGAACTGAGGGAGCAAAAATAAATAAATGAAATAAAAATAAAACTGAAGAACTCGGTTACAAAAATATAAATAAATAAAAAGCACTTCCACAAACCGGGAGCATTTGAATTAAACTTCGCCAGAAGGATTAAAAGAAATCCAAAGTTGATACAGCAAAAACCAATTAATCGAGCCCCAACAGCAGCATAAAGAAACGTGTTGAGATTCGGCTAATTAAAAGAAGTTCTGAGGAGACGAGAACATGGGAGCACTTCAAGCAGGCGCTTGTGTAAAAGGTCAGAAACAGATGGAACAACAATGACACACTGCAGTGGGGTGGGTGGGGGGGGGGGGTCTATAACTAGAAGAAAAAGGTTGCTTCGAGAACTTGATGAGATTGGAAGAAACATTATAAACTTGGTCCATTAAAAAAAACAGGGATTGCTGCAGATTCAGACATTCTGTGAAAACCTCAAAGATGGTGGTTTGTGTAAAAATACAATAAATTAAACTCAGCATTATGTGCCGAGCCCCAGTATTGGTTACTTGCTATAGTAAATTGAGTGTTTAAAAAAAATCACTTACGCACAAACCGTTTCTGTTTGTAACGCTGCTCCTGAGAGGAAAAGGTTCCAGGAGAAGGATGATATTTACCATAAACCCTGTCCCGCGTGGCCTCTCTTTTCATGAAACCATGACAACATGATGAAGGACCGCGGCGCTGACAGAAAGGGACAGCTCACATTATGAATCCGCTCCGTGAACTATGGTGGGTTTTAGTGAAAGTCACAAGTTCGGAAAAAAAGCTGAATGTAGAGATGTTCAAGAAGAGGCTGATGTGGGTAAAAATGACAATGGTGAGCTCAGCTGGTGGTAAAATATGACCCAAAGCATCGCTGCATTTAAAGTTCAAACACTAAAATGAGCTGGAAACAGTTTCTTTCTTAAATACTTAATAAAGTCCTTTAGAATAAAGTTTGAAAAAAGTTTTTATACCCATAAATTCTCTATTGATTACATCCCTGATCTGGAAGATAAACTTTCTTTATTGGTGTCAAAAAATAATTTAAGAGTTGAACCCACTTAATAATCTACAAGCTCTTAACATCACCTTAATCATACAAAACTTTAATCAGCTAGAAATTATGCATTTTACATAAAAACTGTTTTTATAAATGGTTCAATGACAAGAAAATTACCTTAATGTGCAGAGGGATGTGGACAGTGTATGATTTCTTTTATTTTACAATAAACAAATTAGTCCTTGGGTTTCCTTCGCAGGGTGGCTGGGCTCTCCCTTAGAGATAGGGTGAGAAGCTCGGTCATCCGGGAGGGACTCAGAGTAGAGCCGCTGCTCCTCCACGTCGAAAGGAGCCAGTTGAGGTGGCTCGGGCATCTGGTAAGGATGCCTCCTGGACGCCTCTATGGTGAGGTGTTCCGGGCACGTCCCACCGGGAGGAGGCCCCGAGGAAGACCCAGGACACGCTGGAGGGACTATGTCTCTCGGCTGGCCTGGGAATGCCTTGGAGTTCCCCCGGAGGAGCTGGAAGAAGTGGCTGGGGAGAGGGAGGTCTGGGCCTCCCTTCTGAAGCTGCTGCCCCCGTGACCCGACCCCGGATAGGCGGAAGAAAATGGATGGATGGATGGTCCTTGTTATGTTAACTAATGAAATAATCCTATAAATCTCAGAAAACAATTTCAACATTAGAGGTAAAAAGTTTGTTGAATTAATATGAATTAACAGAGAAGGCCGTTAAAAATGTATTACTAGATTTGCCTCCTTATAAACTGCTGCAGTTTTTTATGTATTTTTGTTGATTTTCATTGTTTGATTACATTTATTTTTTTCTTCAGTCTGTTCGATCATTTAGTTTTTTGTTTTTTTGTGTACAAAAATTTTTAAAACAATATTTCACATTAAATATTTCCCCCCAAACTTAACAAAATAAAAATCTACTCCCATATTTAACACTAGAAGTCCCACGAATTTTGACCACCCCCACTGAAGTCCTGAAAGAGGGTCAAAAGACCCTTAGCCCAAACATACGATTCTGATGGCTCCAATTAGCATCCTTTTATTTGTACATGTGGCTATTGCCCCTCCTTCTGCTTAGCAATATGAGACATACAAACATCTTTCTTTGTTGTAAAAACAAAATGTATAGACATCGTTGTCGACACAATGATGTTGTCGTCGACATCGTCGTCAACGTAGGTGCAGAGTTTTGGGCCAAAGGGGGGATATGTAGGGGTACAGTTTTGGGCCAAAGGGGGGATATGTAGGAGTACAGTTTTGGGCCAAAGGGGGGATATGTAGGGGTACAGTTTTGGGCCAAAGGGGGGATATGTAGGGGCACAGTTTTGCCGCCCGGTGATATTCTCACTCTGTTTCTCAAGGGTTCTTGTTTAAATGTTTTTGCTCTGAAGATATGGTGTGTTGCAAAGAACATAAGTGGATGCCACTGTATTTTCAGAGCTACAGTAAAAAATTGTAAATATAGTATCTGATTCAAGTATTATGAGTTTAGTAAGGTTTTGTCTTTTTGTTTTCAATGAATATATCAAATCAGTCAGAATTGACTAGGAGCACAAAAGTTATTTTGTGGGACAGTTCAGAAAATTTACAAATACCACACATTTACACCTGTGAAACACATTTACGCCTGTGGCAGAAAGTAATTTACAGCTACTTGAATAGCTGTAGTCCTAAATGCAGAAACACTGACAGGATTGGATCATTATTTTTTACCCTTCGATCGTGTTTGGAGCAAAGAAAAACACAATGGCACCAAAGAAGACCTACACTGCTTTGTAAGTTTTGGAATTACTGACTGCTATGGATGACTGCGAGTCCGATGGAGGAGAGGAACTAGCTTTTGATGAAATAGATGATTCAGACACTGATTTGAACTTAGAACKTTCTACAGATGAAGATAAATGGTAAATGGTAAATGGACTGAACTTATAGAGCGCTTTTCAAGTCCCTCCGGACCCCAAAGAGCTTTACGCTAACAGACATTCACCCATTCACACTCACATTCACACACTGATGACGGCAAACTGCACTGTAGCCACAGCTACTTTGTAAATACTGTAAATAAAACTTGTTGCTAATTCCTTTTTATGTATCTTGATTCCCTCAGCCATGTCTGCAGCCCAAAACTCTGCACCTACATATCCACACTTTTTCCCAAAACTCTGCACCTACATGTCCCCCCTTGGCCCAAACTCTGCAGACATGGCTGAGGGAATCAAGATACAKAAACAGGACTTGGCAGCAAGTTTTATTTACAATATTTACAAAAACGGCTTACACAAGCAATATATACATTTTGTTTTTACAACAAAGAAAGATGTTTTTAAGATACTATATTTACATTTTTTTACTGTAGCTCTGAAAATACAGTGGCATCCAGTTGTGTTCGTTGCAACACACCACATCTTCAGAGCAAAATCTTGTAAACAAGAGCCCTTGAGAAACAGAGTGAGAATATTATCAGGCGTGGTGGGTGTGTCTGGATTAGCTGCAGCCATATGAACAACAAAAGGCAACAAATAGCCCTCATATTACTTATTTTCAAAACAAAAGCACCCGTTCACAGCTGMTTTAGAATGTGAGCTAAAATCCTTGAGCTCAACCGATCCCTCTCTGGGTTCCAAAGGTAGAAATATTAAATGACCCTTCTCTGGGACTTCTAGTGTTAACTGGTTAGTTATGTCAGAAATGCTGAGATGACTTGTCTGCAGGGAATCTAGATAAAACGGTGAAAGTTTCTCCAATGGCTGGACTGCAGGACGTCTTCTGATCGCCGGCCAACTGTGTCAAGTTTCCAGGTGGAACTTGCCAGAGCTGGCAAAACAAAGGACCAAGGTTTATCCAACATGAAAAACAACTTGTCAAATTCAAGCTGAAGAGTTGGAGCGTTTGAGTCGAATCCAAGGTGTGAAGCTGCAACCAGGTGTGCGGTGGAGATAAATGTGGGCTGAAGGAGCAGATTTTAGGTCTAAAAGTAATAGACGATGGAAAAATCAAAGTATTTTTTTCTTATTTTTTAAATATAAAATAAATCAAAATGTGTACGTTTATTAAAATCTGCTGTATTTTGTGATAAAATGAAACTTGCTTTTAATGAAAAAATGAGCTGGACTGATATTTGGRAATGAGAGGTTTTCAGTTTGAGGTCAAAATTTATCAGAGATCTGAGGGAACGACAAATTCAAAACATGAACTTACATATGAGCTGTCACCTGGGCTCTGGTAGTGATTGGGTAAAACTCTCTTCTGAAACAATTGGAATGACAACAGTATGCTCCGATCTCATCTGGACTGATTTATTATGGAGACTAAAGAACGGCTTCTCTTTCAGAGAGGTTTGTGTCCTTGATAAACTGTTGCCTGTTCTCTCCCAGCCCATTCACCAGCTGCTGGCTCCTGTTTTACTGTCTGCAAATGGTTTTATCAGACATTTGGTTTTAAAAACGGCCGTCTCCTTTGTCTGTTTTACAGCTACTTCATGAACAGGGAACGGTATGTGACCGGAGACAAAATAAAACGCTGCTACCTTGATGCAGATCCTCTTATTGCTTCTCTGTCCTGTAAAATGATTCTATTAAACCTTATTAAACTAATAACTTTGTTCTATAAAACCAGTTTTTTTGTATCCATTGCAGCCTACATTGGTCTTTTTATGCACATCAAACTCGTATCTGCCATTCCTTCTCTTCATTTTTTTTTCTTTTTACTTCAGTTGCTCTGTTCTGGGGGTTGCCACTGAGCACATTTGCACAATAAGATTTGGCACATGTTTCCCAGCAGACGCCCTTTCTGACTCAACCTGGGCTCCAGCCTGCAGCCTGCAGCCTGCAGGACTACAGGACTGCAGCACTGACCCCCCTGAGCTACTGCAGCCCCAGACCTGGATCTGCCAACAGGAAAACTGGAATAAATCATTCTGATACTGACTTGGAGTGTTTACTTCGACTTTAACTCTTTTTAACTTGATTATTACCAAGAAGAATGTTAAAAGATGAAGAATTTGTTCTTTAGCTGTGCAGGATGGAACATTCGGAGAGAAAACTGTTAGTGTGAAAAGCTCCCCACAAGTTGTTATTATTATTTTCAGGTGTTATGTTGGACCAAAGTATTTTAGCTTGTCATTGCTGGATGACTCACCGTTTGTGGACCCAMGGGCTGCAGAGGCAAAATGACACCTGTTGCTGCATCAGTGATGCCTTGGTTAAAGTTTGTCCTTTTTGTTTTCACTTTAAAAAAACTGTTTTACTTCAGTTCCTGCTGCAAAATCACTGAATTCTGCAAGAAAAACAGAAACATTAAGTGGGTCATGTGTTCATATCTTCAACTACTTTTGAAATATTTTAACCAGAAAAAAAAGACGTTTGTTTATTTGTTTGTTTCCTTGCATGCTTGTTTTTTTGTCATGAATCCTACGTGGAGAATGTTAAAGAATGGAAGAAACATAGCATAAATGTGTGTTTTTTTTGTTGTTGTTTTCATCTGATGCTATTGAAGGTGTCAAAAAAACAGTTGGGGTGGGGGTGGCGCAGGGGTGGGAATTCTTGGGTATTTACATTAACTACAAAAAGTTTTTGGCATTTTGAGTAATTTCAGATGGTTAACCTTTTTTCATGAAACCACGGCGCACAAAGAAAGGAACGAAGGAAGCTCATTTATCATCACATTTCAGCCCTGAGCTCCCACCATAATTGATCACTCCTACAGAATCAGAGTCTTGCAGAACTCCAGGTTACAGTGAGTAAACTCAAAGTYTGGCTCGTCCTCCCCACCCCCACCCCCACCCCAAATGAAGTTCACATCATGTCTGACCAGGCAGTCGGTCCGGACTCGGTGGGCTAAAGAGCACAAGAGGAGGGGGAGGTGATTCAACGTCTATACTGTTTGGAACAGCCTGGTTTTTTTTTCCTGTCTTCATGCAGAGATGCCATTTTGGTTGTCTGGCAAAGCAGAAAGGGTACAACGGGATTATGGCCAATAGCTAATGAGCTATTTAGTGCTGGAAGTGCTGCCAGGAGAGATTGTCCTGCTGCTTGTTCAATTTGTATGTTCATGATGTACAAAGGCAAAGGGATGCATGTGAGAGGACATTTTATGATCTGAAAAGGAGGTTAGAGTCTGAGCTCTGAAACTGACTGAAGATCTTTAGTTTAGTTTCTACATTTAGTCATTTTGAACTATTTTATTGATTTGTTTTGTTGTAACTCTACAATCTTGCTCTAATAGAAAGATGTGTTTATTCCTTTTCATTAGTTTTTAATTTTTATTATTTAGTTTTTTTATTTTTGCATAGGCAGATTCACATCTAAGTGAACCAGTTAGTGCTGGCAGCTGTGCAGTTTGTTTGGCTGTGAAACACAGGAGGGAGAACGAACGGCCACCTGAAGGCTCCTGATGGTGGAGCAAGAGGAACCGCTCTGTTCCCCCTGCAGACCTAATCTGATGCAGCGGTGTAGATTATCCTTTACTCAGGGAGAAACACCCCATATTCTCTGTTTTACCTTACAGGTGAACTCTTATCTTTGTGTGTTTTAGGATGATGTGGCTGCAGATCATTAAATAAGTAAAATAGATTTACCCTGCGATGAGCTTATACGTTTGTGCAGCAATCTGATWAGCCTGAGCTGTTATATTGAGGTTGTGACATTTTTGAATTAATTCATTATATTTCTACTTTTAATGRATGTGGATGGCCGGAAAGGTGCAATATAAGTACGGTCCGTTTACCATTAAAGTTTGTTCAGTTGTTTGAAGGAGATTTATTCTGTTTAACACTGATTTTTAATGCATCACAGATACTGTTTCATTTCTAGGTTAACTAGGATATATTTGATTACTTACTTTGCCTAATTATCTATTTTTATGACTAAACTGAGGTTTGGTTAAAATACAGTTTGGTTTGAGTGACATGTCACGGTCCTTGATACATTAGCTAATGCATACCTTAAAGTGCCTGTGACATCAAWTTTTTTGTAATAAATTTTGAATGCGTTTTTGGTATGAGAACATTGATAACATATAGCAAACCAAATTTCACGCCATTGAGATGAACAGTTGTTGAGATATTTGCAWGTGAAGAAACAGGAAGTGATGTCAAAGGGTAATATAAGCATGTGAACAGAGCGACGCTACAATAATTAGAGAAGAATCTGATGTTTATTTAGATTACTTTGTGTCACTATTTGAGTTGAAGAAGAGTTTAAATAATAATGTTTCAATGAACAAAGACTAGAGARTTTTCTTTCTTCAAGAGTTCCCCTTTGATGTCACTTCCTGTTTCACTTTGCTGAGCCAAATTCAAGAGAAAATATGCCAGTTATGAGACAAAACGGGTAAAATCATGTGTGTTATGCCAATTTTCTTAAATATGAGTATGTTTTCTTTGACTTTTTGTTTTTGAAGGATAAGCATGTCACAGGCCCTTTAATTACACACACAGCTATTTTCTCATGAGTTTGTAGGAAGTTTGTTCAAGGATCTGGTCACGTGGTCAGGTGACCACATTATCTACCTTCACATTTCTGTTGGATTGTATATTTTAATAATCTTGTATTCATCAAATTGTTTTACAAAATCATTTTTATTTTTGCACGCAGGACTAGTTAGTCTCCCAATATGATGCAATTTAAAGTAAATTATTAACTGAGGATGTCTTCTGCAGCTTTAAATGTCTGTTAGGAGTTTAGTCAGCAGAGTCCCTCTATCCTGTCCGCCCTGAGAAACGTCTCTGCTCCTATAATTACTGTTCTGAACCCCACCACGGGCCGAACCCGGCCTGCTAAGTACGTGAGACATCTGCATGCTCACGCTGGGAGCCTGGCTGACCGAAGATCAGAGCCAGACCACTCAGCTTCATTATCAGGGAGCAGAGGTGGCACACGGAGACGCACAAGTCAACCAGCCGCCTCCTTCTCTGTGTTTGATAGCTCCCGTTACCCTCTGCTTTCTGCCTGCTCCTGGCTTGACATTTTCTGAGCCCCGTTCTGAGGAGAGCAGGAGAACAAGCTCGAYGAGAGACAAAGACAAACGGCAGAAAGCAGAGATGGAAGGAGAGGTAGGAGGGCCCCGCAGGAAGGAAGGCGCTCGCTGTAACAACTCTTTTTGTGTGCTACCAAAAGAACAGACCCCGACATGACAAGGGTACATTAGCTCTCTGTTTCTGTTCCTGCCTCTCTTTACCTCCTGCTCGTTACCGCAGAGCCTTTTATCAACGTGGCACATGAGTTTAGTTTGATGTTGTCTCTTCATTTCCAGTTTTATCCCCCATTCATTAGATTTTCTATTATTTCTTTGAGGGTGAGAGTGACAAAAACAGAGAAACACAGACGACCCCCACATTTATCCCCACTGCATTCTCTTCACGAGGGATCACCTCACAGAGCTGAAGTGTCAAACTTACAACTGTACACAGTTTGATAGATATCAGAGTAGAGAAGTTAACAAGATTTATTTTATTGTGTGAACTGGATTTGATTAGATCCCACTGCCGTATACCCGATTCTTGACACAACTAGGACACGTTTTAGAAGAATCCGTTCTTCTTTTGCTCCATGTTTCCTTCTGTTCTAATTTTAAGATTAAATGTCACTTTGGTCGTGTCTCGCAACGAAAATATTTTTTGTGGAACTTGACACTAACATGAACGTACGTTGGTGTGATATAAAAAGCTAAAAGTTGGAGATAATGGTGTGTAGCGTTGGCATGCCAACATGCTCAACATGACGACGTGCAGCAGGTAATATTTAACGTTCATCTAATTTTAGCATGTAAGCTGAAAAAAATGTACTTTATGCAAAATACTGTATATACAGATGTTTGTTGGCTTTGTACTTTACTGCTCTACGGTTTAGGTTTTTATACTAAACAACAGGAAAACATGTGCAGTGTGCTGCAAACAGGCAGCAGTGGCTGCTGGACATAAGCACTCAAATAACAGATGTAGAGGATTTAATAAAAAACATGTCAACTAGTTCAACTTAAATGAATTAAAGTACAATACATTCAATATACAAGCTGTTGTTTGAGTAGTTGTTATC